AACATGCGGCGGTAGCTAATCTGCCAACTGACGTTGCTCCCGGAACGCCTTAATCCGGCGTCCTCTCCCCCAGATGTTGGTCGTCCGGATCCCCCGGAGACTATAACGGCTGAACCTGTGCGAGTGAACCTCCAGGAAAAGCTAATCCAGAGGTTTGCGTTCTACTACAGGTATGCCATTAGTTCCTATGATAGGCGCCCTGTGAGGAGACCAGTGGGAGAAATTCCACAGGAGCTCTTGCAGATTGGTAATGACATCCTCGTTCGTAAATTCGAACGACTGCCAATCTCTCACGGACGTCGGTGGATCTCCAGCTTGAATGCTGCAGTGTACGCAATCGCTCGTGCGATTGCTGCTACAGCGGACGAGCTGAGGCGAGAACGATACACCGATGAGCCCATACGCCGCTTAAAAGCTAGGGGATCGTAGAAGGACACAGATCTCGTCTCGATCTAGGATCTCGTTAGTGAGCGCCATTTAGGTGCTCACTAACGAGATCCTAAGACGCAAAATGTTATTTCAGCGAAAGGAGGGAGTCAGGCGTAGACCCAGCCTGAAGTTCTTCCAAGTAGCTGAATGTTATAACATTAAACGTCGCGGAGAGCTGAGGCGAGTCTTGAGAAGACTCAAGGATCAGCTCAATGTGACACAGCTCGAAATCCGGAAGTTAGAAGAGGCGAGACAGCGAAAGCTAATACGCCGTCGAGGAGCCTCTTATGTGGTTCATGAGCTCTCCGAGCGACCGACTGAGGTGCCTGTGGCCAGTGTACGCGAGTACTGGAAACCTATAGTCGGGGAATATCAACCATTCGAAGTAAGCCCCGAACTTGAAGAATGATCGATGAAACTGGGAGCTTTGCCAGGGAAGAATCGTTCTGATACCGAAGAGGAAAGGTGACCCCAGTCAGCTGGAACCCGGCGACTTCCGCCCCATAGCATGTTTAAATACATGCTATAAGATCCTAACGAGTATGATGGCCGTGCATGTCAATGCCGCCGTAGGAGACCGGTTTCCCGGTAGTCAAGTTGCCCTACGGAAAGGCATCTGGGGATGCACACACGCTCAGATTATAGACCAAACCATTGTCGCTGACGCTCAACGGACTGGTCAGGAACTGCACATGTTATGGATAGACATGGCAAAGGCATTTGACTCCCTGCGGCATGGTGCCATTATGTGGGCCGTGAAGCAGTGGGGCATTCCGTCAGATGTCCGGCGCCTATTGTCTACCCTGATGTCGCAGCAATCCGTGACATACTATGGTCGATCGAACGGCCGTTTAGTAAGGAGCCGACCTCTTCGAATCAGAAATGGTTTGATGCAAGGGGACTCCTTAAGCCCGTTCTTGTTTTGTCTTACCATAGCGCCTATCTCGGCTTGGATCCAGGCTCATATCCAAGGTTACCGAACGAAAACCGGTTCAGGGCCTCGCTCTGACGGTGCCTTAGGAAGGTGAACACATGTGTTCTACATGGATGATCTTAAGGTGTTCACGCGAGATTGGTATAACTTGGTGAAAGCCCGTAAAGGGATCCAAAAAGTTGCCAGTAGGCTCGGATTGGAATTGAATAATAGAAAATGTGCAGTGAGATCGGTAAACAGCGGAGACATGGGGCAAGTTGAACCAATGAGATGGGTTCTATTCCCATCCTCGGAGGTTCTGAGGTCTATAAGTATTTGGGTGCTGAAGAGACTGGGCTTGTGTGCTTCGAACAACTATGGGCAAGAGTCGCAGACTTGGCGACGGTAACTGCAAGGCGGTTGTTCTTTAGTAACCTTACGGTTCGTCCAAAAGGTAAACGGGTTCAACCAAATTGTAGTGCCAAAGCTGAAATATGCCTTTTCTTGCATCATATTCGGAGTCGGTCGATTCAAAACCCTGTGTGCGAAGAGCCCGGAAATTTGACTTAGAGGTGCGCAGACTGTTAGTGGGGGTCTCATATGAGATTCGGACACAGCTGTGTTGCACGGTTATACGTCAAGAGGGATCAGGGGACTAGGACTGAAAAGTATCGAGGAAGAGTTACATCTGAGTGTCGTGTACACTTGGAGCTTATCTCAGCAAGTAATTGAATTTTTGCAAATTGGTCAATGGTTGGTTGTGGACATTTGCGCAAAACAAAGTCCAGAAATTCTGGAATTCCCATATTTTGCCACTGCAACGTTGGTATTGGGATAGCTGGGAGTTTAGGTTTCGCGACCTTTACTTCCCCGGCCTGCTGGTCAATGAAGCTGATTGTCTCCCCAGTCGGTATGGACGGTTGCGCATGATCTCTGGCACTCAAACGGTCACACTCCATTTCGATAGCTATCGTTTGGGCCTCGCTGAGAACTGCATGCGCTTTTTCTACATACTCCTGAGCTTGGGCCTCTTGCTCATCTGTTAAGGAGTCAATCAATGAGTCCACTAAGGTAGTAAATGCTTCTAACGTGTCTTGAACTACTCTTGAGGTAGAGTTGAGTTGCATTGCTAAAGACTGGATGCGTTGCGATGTCTTAGAGTCCAAGAAATTCACGTTGTCCGCGTTTACTACCTTTTTACTCTCATTGATGATACGTTGGAGATCGTTACAGTACCTAGTCATTAGCCCTTTTTGGGATTTGAGACGTGTGGGTCCCGGCTCCGGCATTGCAAACAGAAAATGTATGAAGGAGGAAAGGCGAAGGAAAAAGAAAACGTATAAATAATGAAAAAAGAATAAAGTGCTGCGCCGACGAAATGCGCTTAATTCAAAGCTGACTGAAGAAAACTGTAACTTGTGAGCGTACCGGTGTCCTGGATAGCCGATGCACCATATAGGAATTACCCTTGCACAGTGGTTCTGTAGTTATTGATATCGTAATACACCACAGATGAGACACAAGATATTGCACGGGTTTATATACAACCTCAAACTTGGGTAATTAAACGAAGTAAAATAAATGTCCCTTAAATCATAGTAGAAAGGCAATAAGTGCATGGTACTGAAATAACTGAGTTAGAAGAAAAGTGAAATCTAGGTCACTCAAAAATGAAATGATGCAGTAAACAAAAGCTTAGAATTAAGCAACTAATTGAATTAAATCTTCCAAGCAATGATAATGGTGCCCTAATCGACCGTAACGCATAGATGATAAACGGCGTTAAAAGTGACATTGAAGAGTGAATGACTAATCACAAGGCTTTTATATGAACCTCCTCGTGCGCCGAAGCTGTAGATTCCATCCTCGTACTTTTCCGCACAAAGAAGTGTCATCTGCCGCCACGCGCTGAGTCTTGCCCTGTGCAGTGCTGAACGCTAAGCTGAAATGAAGCTAGATAAAAACACAAAGATTACAGTGCCTCAGGAATTA